GTTACTGATTAGGATAAGCTGGTCGTGATAGTCAGAGCCATTAATTGTAAACCGTGATGAAGGAGAGCTGGGTCTAGTTTAGAACTATCAATAAGCTATTAAGTTCTCAAAATAAAACCACAGTTTTTGGAGATGTGGAGAAAAGTTCCGCAATATTGATGTGAAAGATTCGACTACGAATGCAAAATCGATACACTATTACAGCAACCTCTTTGCTAAGATATTTTGAGCTTGATATTAAATATTAAAGAATCCTTGATGTGTGTACACCTCAAAAATGAATCCTTGATGTGATTTTCCAATACCTATTACCTATTTCCAATACCTATATTATTCCAATACAATAGGTGCCGCTACCCCAGTCTTCAAAAATATTTTTTTCGGATATTTCAAAATGTCATGTGGTTTTTCGGTACACAACCACAGATACCCAGTAGTTAAGGTATTTTTATCTGCCTAAAATCTTACATTTTTTGTTTTGGCACACCAGTCACTTGTTAGTCAACACATATATGGACTTTTGACTCAATTAATTCAATCGGAACACTACCACAGATGTTTTAGTCACTAAATTATTTTCAAATTTCCTAAAAAAATCTCTGATTGGAATTTTTAAAAACACCAACACAGTTAGCTCCGTTACTACGATTGTGGAATCGTTCACTACATACTACTAGGTGCGATTTTTCAATAGAACCTTGTACCACTTATCGCGACTTTTGGCTGTTCAAAGATCAAACGGAGATGTCAGCAATCAATTTCGTTTCAGTGTCCGTAGGCTTTGATTGCAGGCCATCTTCAGTCCAAGGCTGCTCCGTCCCATGTTTGACAACGATTACCGTGTAATGTGCTCTTACCCAATATCACCTACGCCTCAGCCTCACCGCACAATACGTTGTACGTTGTGTACGTTACAACACAGCACATCCATGTGGCTTCAACTGCAGAAATGACACAGGAAACGGTGGTTAACAGTTAAGATGTGTCGAATCTACGACTTTTCTGTGATAACTATGACAATGAAACAATGGTCTTTCCATTCCCCATGATGAAGATGTAGCTAGATTTGGAATGAAAATGATTGTAGTTCAATTGATTCAACAAGTAAAAATGTGTTGATGTCCAGGTCTTACAATCAAACTTTTGGTAATAGCTTATTCCATATGTGGGAAACTCGCTACTAGGATTAGGGCTTAAACTGTTAATACATATACCGTACAGTTCTTTACACACATTCGTGACATAGACTTTTTTGGATGATCCCCAATTTTCCCTATTTTCCAACAAGTTCCCATTGTTGGAAAATGGGTCGTTTGGGAAAATTGAGGGTCATCCAAAAAAGTATTTGTCACGAATTTGTAAATAGAATTAGAGTAAACTCTTGTTGGAAAATGGGACGTTAGGGAAAAACAATCAAAATGGGTTGTGTGGAAAAATAATCAAAAGAAACTATATTATTTTTTCCACACAATGCTCTTTAGTCAAAATCATTTAGCCACAGCTTAAAAATAAAAGCTGGATCAGGGTAATATTAGTTGGGTAATTTCATTAAATTAATTTCTCGTCTAATCTTATAGCAAAACAGACGAATTGCTAGACAAGTTTTCTTGTTAACAACGATAAAGATGAGTTAGTTCATGAACATTTAAGAATATTGTGTAATAGAGCTAAACATAACATAAATGAGGTTGCATTTTTCATGCCCCATAATATCGAGCTTCTATTTTTTATTAATAAACCTAATTAATTAGCTAATCGTTTGAATTATACAAACTTGTATTAAAAACTTGTACTAAAAGGGGGTTAATGATAATTTTAGAGAAAGCAAAATCCCTTGGACTTCTTGAAGTATTGTTCACATAGGCATTGATTGAGTGAAAAATAATAACTGTGGGGAGACAGCTTTCCGAAACCTTGTGGTAAAGATAAAATTATTACTTAAACTAACATTGGGAACGGCTCAAGCTGTACTAAGATTTACTACACACATAGTTTAAAATCCAATATCTGATTGTAAATATAATATAAGCTGGCTGATTAAAAGTCCATATTGAATGTCCAAACCTTTAGTTATTTATGCGTATTTTGTTTGAAAATGTTATTTTGTTACCATCACATTTATTAACAGCATCCACTAGCTGGAACTTAAAAATGGCTTGATCTATCCGAATCAGCGCTGAAGATGCGTTTCCTTTAAGTTATTATCCTTGCAGATTTATGTTGAGTTGCAAGTTATGGGAAATCTTTATGGAGCTTAAAACTCCATATAGGTATATTGATTCACATAGCTATGTTGCATCAAAAAGGAAGCAACGTTTATCAATGCAACTTCCGATAATCAGCATGTCATTTGGATTTAATAAGCTGCTTTAAAATACCCACGAAGACAGCCTATTTCATAACGTCTGATGAAACGGAATTTTGACAGTCAATTGACATTCTAGACACCCAGCGATGTGTCACATAGGCCTTCAAACATATACAATGATCAATGCTCTAAATATAAGTTTAGAAATCTCAGAATTCATCAGCCATGCTTGAGTTTATACATCGTAAAAAGTACACCGTGAACCTCGCCAACACACATAGCTATTCATGGCCTAACATCTCCTTGGACTGAGGTGGAGCTTTTAAGAAGTGAAGCTTTTAAGCTTTTAAGGTTAATATTTAAGATAATATAAGTAGGTTTACATACCTTACGTCGTCAATTCTAATTTAGACTTGGGCAATCCTGGATAAAGTAGCGATGATTCTCTATGGAAGTAAGAAGATGTTTTTCCTGACAAACTTACGTTTGCTGTGATTAAACCCCTGTTCAAAAAGGGCGATGTAAACGATCTCTCTAACTACCGTCTCATTTCCATTTTGCCTTGGTTTTAAATTATTTTTGGAAAAATGTTAAGATTCAACTAACAGAATTGTTAGAAAGCAATAATCTAATAAATCTTTCTCAGTTTGGTTTCCGCCTAGAACTCAGTACTGAAAAATCCATAACAAAAATGATTAACCGCATTGCGGAAGCCTCGGATGGATCGCAGAAGACTGTGGGTGTGTGTGGCCAATCCAAGGCTTTTGAGTGTGCGGATCATGAGTTACTCATAGACAAATTAAGTATGCATGGAATAAAAATACTGAATTAAAATGGTTTGTATCCTATTTAAAACCTCGAAAACATAGACAGTACAAAAAAACTAGAGAAATTATAAATCAGAGTCGAACATTAACCCCTGTGGAGTTCCTCAGGGCTCCATTCTTGGCCTTTTTTTATTTATTATATATGTTAATGATCCATGCAATGCAAGATGTCAACCTTTTAATACGCAGATGATACTGTTCTAATTTGTACAGGATTAACAATGAGTTCAAACAGGAGTCAATCCCTCGAGAATTTAAACTCCTCGGGGACTGGTATGCAGTAAATGGTCTTTCCATGAATGTGGTAAAACTCTACTAATTTAAGTTTCTGCATAAAATACTAACCAATATTATAAAGGTTAAGTGGTAGAGAGGACTTGCTAGACCTAACTTCGCGTCTTAAATAAATACATTTTCTATTTTACTTCATTAACCAAGAAATTATATTAAATACAAACGTAAATTCAATTCATTCACAACAGTCAATAAAATATTTGGGAATCGATATTGATCCACAACTAAATTGGCAAAAACACATAAAAAACCTATCAAAAAGACTACGCTGAGCAACAATTGTTCTTACGATATTTTGGAATACTACTAATCTAAAAACACAAGTAGAAGTATATCACGCATATCTTTAATCTATTATGAACTATGGGATTACTGTATGGGGCAAATCAAGCCAGGCCAAAAATATTTATTCTCCAAAAAAGAGCTGTACGATCAGTGGTCAGAGTCTTCGTAGAACACATCGTGAAGATTTATTTATTCAGTTTAAAGTTGTAACCCTTAGCTCTTCTATTTACAAATTGGCATTAATGTTTAAAAGTGATTTCGGCATATTCATGGACTGTCAACAATCTCATCCACATAACAAAAGACTATTTTATTATTTAGATTTATCAATGTAGCATTAGACTTTGTGACAAATCACCTGTCAAGAGAATTGACTTAATGTGACGTAAAAAAAAAAAAAAATTACTTAAACATGTATTATCCGTACTATTTAAACAATTATATTGTCGAAGAAATTGTCTGAAAGCTCAATACAGTAGTATCTTCGAGAGAAATGTGACTATTACTAGACATTCCATCCCCATGTTAAAGTTTTAGCCAGGTTTTTAATCAAATTTGTTAGCCAGGTTTTTAATCAAATTTGTCTTAGTTGATGTGAGCCACCTACAGATTGCGCTGATCTAAATTACTGATTTCTGCCGATTACACGATGGTTTTTACCAAGTCAAACTGATGGAATGACTTATTATGAGCTATAGCAACTGTTGTGACCCAGCAACTATGCCAGTAACCAAAAATAAGGTACAAAATGGAGTTTTAGACACTAGCGCAATCTGTGACTGGCTCACACAACTACGTTCTTTTTTGGTAAAACATTGGCGACAGCTGATCCATATAGATGGGATGTCTTCTTCTATTATGTTATGTTATGGGAATTTAACGTAAGGATAAACGTTTGATTTTACAATTCCTTTATTTATCCTGCTTGATCTGTCCAAGTTGATGTTGATCTTCTTATTCGTACCTTTTTGCACAAAACGCAAAATAATAGTATTTTTCGTTTGAAGTGTAAATAACCTATGGCTAATGAAACATGCCAAAAGCTTCAACGGTTTAGACCTACTATCAATTTGAGACCACCCACATTTATCTAGTCCAATACATTCCTTTTACAATCTCAAAAAGTTAGACGGTTTTATCCATATGGAATTTGCTTTACGTTTGGGGTTACATCAAGGCTATACATCGTAATGGGAAGCAGGAATACATACAACAATATCCATATTTGTGCAAACTTTTATTGTGAAAATACTTACAATTAAATTAAAACTACATCTTCTTCACTATTTACTAAGTTAAAGCTAATCCTTATACGAGAACACAAAATACTAGAGAGAATAAAACTACTGTGGTGATATAATTTAAAAATGAATAATTGTTTTTCGTAATAAATTTTATTTCTAATTTTTAAGACTCGAAAAGCTAAAACAATAATTTATCTTTCCTTAAAATTAGAGTGAAATGGTTATACATCATTGGTAGTAATGCATGTTATTTACAACGGGATCACATTGAAATATTAGTATGTTACAAAAACAGCTGTTAAATTAAAAAAAAACAACTTACATTAAAATAGAGTGGAATGAAACAAGAAAATTTTTGTACAAAATACACACTGTAAAACACTTGACCATGGATACACTTCAATCACATGTTAGAGTTGTAGCCAGATTTACGAGTAGGCTTGGATAAACAATTACGTAGTCCAGTTGAGCCAACGACTGGTGGCACAGATGTAAATTTATATAGAATACAACAATTGTTTCACTAAGCAAAACTGAAAGGTCAACTGATTACTAAATCTAGCTTCTTATACCTCATCAACTATCACAGTACAAAGATTATGCGAAAATAAATTTAGCAGCACACTCTATTAGAGGACCATTGAACTAAGTTAATTTTTAATTGGCTACAGCTGGTCTGTGTCTACTACAATACAAAAGTCAAAGGTACAGTTTTTAAACTTGGTCACAAACGAGCCATTAATATAATGACTTTCAAAGGTAACTTTTGGTAACTCGTAAAGCGATAAACAATCGGCAAGACGACGCTGGCTTACACGCCGAAGTACGACGGTGTGGTGCTCGTGGGGGTAGTCATTGTTGCCAGAGTGTTTCTGAAGAGGTGTTCAGTAACGGTAGCCGCCTCCACTGCCAGTGCCGCCCCCGCTGGCTGGGTAGCCGCCCCCAGTGGCCGTCCCCTCGTACCTGACCGTCGGATGGTATCCTGTCTCGTCGGCCGTGTACTCCACGATCTGTCGCCTCCCGTCCGGCAGAAGGACCATGTACATGCCCTTGGCCACGTGACCCTCTCTGGACTCCATGTGGCCGAAGTCGTTGCCTGAGGGAGCGTCTTGTACGTGGTAGGAGAACTGGTAGCTGGCAGGCTCCTGAAAAATTAATTTAAATTCAGTGTGGAAAGTTAGCAGTACTGACGGTACAGTATTCTCCTCCCGTAAAGTTTCAGTAAAGAACGAGCCTACTTATACTCTTATAGGGATTAATCCTCTTTGAAAGACGTTACGTGTGTTTTAAACGCGTATCACAAGTTCAAGTGAAGCCTAGTCTTTTAGGACTCAGTGGTAAGTGGTTGGTTGAAATATTGAGGTTTGTTCAGATTTTTGAGGTTGTTGGTTTGGTAGTTATGGTTCCGATACGTTGGTAAGTAAATACTGAAAACTGCAAGGCTTGTACATTTGGCGAAATAGTAGGTCTTGAAAAGTATCTGAGGTTAGGGCTACAATAGTATATTTCGTACCTAGGGCCGAAAATGAGGTTTTGCCGGCTCGAGATAGTTTTTAAGTTCGAGACGAAGTCGAGAACTTAAATCGATCGAGAGCTGCAAAACCATTTCGGCCCGTGGTACGAACGCCATTTTTCACCACACTATACCCTATTACCACTATTCACCACTATAATAATGCACACTGATAGTCAAACCAACTACAACTTTAAGGTTATGTAAAGAAATAATTTGAGGAATCAGCAAAAATAAAAATAAAATAGTTGCTAGGCAACGGCGACAATAACACAATTCTATTGCAATGCTATGGATTTTGATTGTGTATTAAAAATGCATACATGTTTTAAGTAAGCAAGCGGACAGCTGATTTTGCGGCCCCGGCCTGTAAAAACCTGCTCGGTTCCCAAATTTCGATGACAGCTGGCATGGCCAGCAAAACGTAACTTTCAGCCACCAATTAACGCATGTAATACAGCCAAAAACATCATAGTGTGGTTAAAAAGTACGAATGCATTCGAATTTTGTGACATAATTAATAAGACTTTGTATACATACCGAGCTTCCATCATCGTAGTTGTAGCCTCCTCTGCTGCCTCCCCTGCTATATCCACCCCCACTGTATCCACCCCCGCTGTGACCACCCCCACTGTATCCACCCCCGCTGTGACCGCCCCCGCTGTATCCACCTCCACTGTGACCACCCCCACTGTATCCACCCCCACTGTGACCGCCCCCGCTGAAGCCTCCAAACCCACCAGAGGAAGCCCCGGTAGAGAACCCTCGGTTGCCCCCGAAGCTTGGACGTTTCGGCGCCGAAGAGATCTGCCCCGGTACACCGTAGGATGACGAGGGTGCGCCATAGTTGGCACTGGGTCTGAGAACTGCCATCGTGTGGCGGTTACTGTTGCCGAACCTGTTACTGTAAAAATAATAAGTATTATAAACAAATTTAATGCATACTTTCATAAACTAAGATTTTATCTATAAGAAAGTTCTTTTTAGCGAATTTCCCATATAGGGAATAAGCTATTACCGTAGGTCTCATGGTAAGACCTAGACCCGAGACCGATTTACTTTTTCGTTTTGAGGTCCCCAGAGGCCAAAAACACCATCCGTTCAAATTCATATATATATATATATATTTATATATATATATGTCCGTTAGCGCGATAACTCGAGCAAAATTGATCCGATTTTGATGAAATTTGGTACAAACGTGTAAACCTACATTTATTCGAACGAGTTCGCGAACCAGCATAATCGGACCATGGGATCAGGGGTTTATGGGAGGTTTTATGGGGTAAAAATGGGTTTTTCTCATTTTTGACCCTAAAAACTTTAAATTTCTAAATTTCTCTCTAGACCATTTTGAAGAGCTTAAAAAAACAAATATTTTAGTATATTGAAGTGTTTTTGAATGTTCATTGACTACGGAGAAAATTAAAAAAATTGTAAATTTAAAATTCCCATGTTATTCTTATGGAGAATAAATAAACGGTTCTGTTGTAGTTTGCTTGTTTATGGATATATTTTAATCAAATTTGGCAATTTGGTTTATTTCATACTAAGCTATCAATATTTCAATTGAAAAAACACACCTCAACATCTTCCCCGTAGCAGCAAACCTAACTACTCACTAAAATTAATGTTATTTAAAAATGGAAATAAATCTGAAAATTTATAGGGAATATTTTAGTAGAAATCAAGCCGGGTAAATGGAAATTCGCTTAGTATGCAGGTTTGCTGCGACGGGGGTATTACAATCTCGTTCTATAACTTTATAAGTTGAATCTCTTAATCTCCATAATTCAAACTGATAAATTCTTTTAGTAAACTTAAATTATCATCCATAGTAGGAAAGTATATTGTAGTCCTTACTGACAGAAAGGAACGTGACAAAGTAACTAAGTCAAGAGTTACTAACAAATTACCTTTCAAACGTTCAAGAAAGCTTTATAATCTGGAAGCAAGGCATGCAGCAACTGATCTGTCAGAAGAACTATCAAGAACAGATGGTGGACAACCTATCTTAGAATTAAACTAGCGACCCTTACAACCAAGCTAACCCCTATGACTAACTTGAATACATCTGTGGATACATTTTCTGACCAAGTTAAACCTATGGTTACCTGCCGCGTGAAGGTGGCCCATACGATGACGAGGGTGGACCATAGGAAGCTGATGGGGCGGAGGGTGGAGGAGGGGCGAAGGCATCCTCGTTGGTCGTGGAGTAGTTTGGTACGGGGGGCTCTGCCCAAACTGCCCCCAGGCACATCAGCACCGCTAAACTGCTTAAGCAAACCTGCGAAACATGAGGCAAAATATTACTATGGACAAAACAAAGTCAAACCTCTTAAATTAGCTGAAAATAATTTTATCAATCAGAGCATGGTTGATGGTTCAATGAGCCTCAACGGAATGAGCTTATAACAGAGAATGCTTCTTTTAAAATTCTATATCAATCCTAAGTAAGATACTATGACAGTCGATGTGGCATACTCCAGTTTATATATATATTTTTTTTAATGTGGCTTTGTTAGAAATTCGGTAATAAGACAGAAACCAGTTTCAAAATTTAAATATTTACTACAACCATATATTGAAATAATGCTAATGAAATCCTAAGCCAGTTTCGAGCCAAAAAAATCTTATTGCGCATGCACACAAAAGGACAGCTCAATAGGAATTACTTGATTTGTGAATTGAAAAAAACTGACTCTACTCAACGCAAACCAAGAATCACTGACTTGTTATTTTCGACACAATATGCTACTCCAAATTCGGCGAGTAACTCTGTAACGGATGTAACTCAGTCTGAACATAATGTTGATACTCAATTCTAGGTTAACCGCACTAACATAACCTAGACTGAAACTGTGGAGAACGATATAATACAACAGTTACTCAAGAAACCACACTCGGGTACACCACCACCACCAGGACGGAAAAGTTAAGGAACAACGGAGATGTAATTTAATAATTACAAACTCAACTAAAATGAGACCAAAGGTTCCCCGCATACGTAATTATGTTAGATAAAATCCTTTGCATATTATCCGGGTAGGTTAGCCGCAGACAGTAGTTGTATGCATGCGGTGACACAATTTTTGAAATGTGTTCACTTAGAAATGCAGTGTAAATTTGTTTGGAAATAAGCTACAAACTTGTATAGAGGAACACTAAGTTGAGTCTCAATCTATTCAATAAATTTATCAATCTATGTTGAAATGTTTAATTGGATACTAAAATTACTTCAAAAGTTGAATACGTTCCTTCGTACGTACCCATGGATTATGAGGATATCCCATTTTCAGATTGAAGTAACATCTAGTTATAAAATGAAAATGGACGTCGTTAAATTGAGGTATAATTACTACTTCAAGTTGTATGTCATCCATCTTTTAAGAAAAATACTACAACAAACAACTTGATGTTAACCGTAGCACAATTTATGTCAAATCAATCACTTAAAATTGTAATACTGTTGACAATAGTCCTCTATGCGAGCTACATTGAATTTGAACATAAACCTAGCTACAGCTGGATCATACTTACATTCAAAACGCAGAATTGTTAGGTACATAAAAACATGGTAAAATGTAATGTAAAGACGGAAAAATAAGTTTATTTGATTATATTTCAAATATATGTGAAATTACAAATTACTTATTAATTATTTTAACGGCACAAGAAAAATATGCAAACATAAAACAAGGTCACATAACAATATCCCAGCTGGTTATATTGAAAACATATTGATCTTTCCTTATGCTATAAAAGATGTCATAACGTAAAGGAAATGAACGGTAAGGAGGCGGAAGAGAGAAAGGTGTTAAGGTTGCGAAATTGATGGACAATACAGTTACTGGTCCAGGAACTACTCATTAGGAAACGGTGATTGGGAAATACTAGGTCCAGCCTAGCAAGGATTTGTGTGCGCTTTTAGCATACGATGGTTACCGACTGAAAAAGGAACGTCTCTATATACTGCAGCAGGTTTTTTTGCGAATTTCCCCTATAGGGAATAAGCTATTACCGTAGTACTCATGTAAGACCTGGACCCGGGACCAATTTACTTGTTCGTTTTGAGGTATCTAGAGGCCAAAAACACCATCCGTTCAAATTCATTAATATTTATTTATATATGTGTCCGTTAAAGCGATAAGTCGAGCAAAAATCATCCGATTTTGATGAAATTTGGTGCAAACGTGTAAACCTGCGTTTATTCGAACGAGTTCGCGAACCAGCATGATTGGACTATGGGAACAGGGGTTTATGGAGGGTTTTATGGGGTAAAAATTGGGGTTTCCCATTTTTAACCATAAAAGCTTAATATTTAGCAATTTATTTCCAAACCATTTTGTAGAGTTAAAAAAAATTCAGTTTATTGAAGCGTTATTATGCGCCTAATGGTTACGGAGAAAATTCCAAAAATCTCTAATTTTAAAATTCCCATGTTATTCTTAAGGAGGATAAGTAAACTGTTGTAGTTTGCTTGTTTATGAATATATTTTAATCACATTTGGAAAATACATTAACTTCTTACTAAACTATTAACATAAAAAATTAACCCTTCCTGTTGCAGCAAACCTAAGTACTCGTTAAACTTATTATATTTACATAGGAAATAAATGTGATATTTTTAAGGAGGCATTTTAGTGTAAATCCAATCTCTATATACCGTCAGGCTAATGGAAATTCGCTAAGTCTGCAGGTTTGCTGCGGCGGGGGTATCAATACATTGGTTGCGTGGCTAAAGCTATTCACATATTCTGAGGGTAATATTCGTCCGCTAAACATGTGGAATAAAATAGTCGTGATAAATTAAAATACGATTTCTTAGTTTTATGAGTTTTTTTTGTTTACCACCGTGTCACAGTATATTTTTACACGATAAAATCGACAATTTAACATTTACAGTATCAACATTACGAAAACATTGATGAATTTGAATATATTGATGTTTTGGCGGAGTAATACGTATTACTTCTAAATAACGGTGACATCTTCTGTTGGCATACAATAGCCAAACAAAATGGAAATAATTTAGGAACCAATACATAGGTCTAAAAGTAATACTCTAATACTTTTTTTATGAAATAGCGTCCATACGAATGTAGGTATTTTGGTACTTTGGCATTTTACCGACCACACCTAATAATTTATTACCTAACCTAACCTAGCCTAAGGTTGGACTATGTTTTAGGTTAGTTTAGGTTAGAAGATTATGTTATTTTAACTAATTAAAAACTTATTTGCAAGTGGATTTATCGGTGTGGTCGGTATAATCCCAAAGTACGGGTATTTTAAGCCAAGTCTGAACTATGTACGAAATTATCTATTTGTGATTTAATTAGCTTAAAAATGGCGCAGTACAAAAAATATTGTTAATAACATTTTTTTCGACCCTAGCTAATTTTACAAACTGGGCTTCGCGTCGGTCATTTAACTTGAACTAGTGTTAAAAAGAGTTTCTTTAGTTCACTGAAATATTAAGTTACTCTAGCTCCTAGTGATGAAATATAATATTTCGTAACACTGCAGGAAAACAAATTTGTCAATAATTTTTCAATACATGTGTTAAGGCAGTCCTTTTCATCCCTAAGGAATCATCTGGAATCAAAAAAATCAGCTGTACGTTACGCTTCCCTCTTGTTAACCTCAACTGATTTTGCCAAAGAAAGTATTTCTAGTTAATTTTTGTAGAAATATAAAACTATTTTCAGAATTTCAACTTGATTTTCTCGTTTTGCCAAAGTAAAGGCTGATTCATTCTTTTTCAGGAATGGTGGAATGATGGAAAAGGATGGATGGTAAATTAGTTTGCCTAAAATATAATGGTACGGAATGATGTCCTATTATTCAACTTCATATTTTAGGATGAATCCGTCCGTAAATTAGTGATTTTAATAATAATTTCAAAGCTGCCATTTATGTAAATGGTTTTGTATTCTTTTTATCTATGTCAAATGGAACTTTCAATTATATGATCAAAAACGGTCCGAAAGAAAATCGGCCAACGCCAACCCCTCAAAATTTGACCTTGAAATACGAGCGCTAACCTTCGTCTAGCAGCACCCAACTTGTTTTAAGAACATTTTCTCATTTTTAAAGAAAAAATCAAGTTTCTGATTCATAAACCCTAAAAATCGGATACTGTCTGAGATACTAACGGCGGTAAGTTGTTCTCTGTATATTTCAGAATTGGGTGAATCTCACGGTAATATAAAAGTAATGTGCGAAGTGCGTTACAAGCCCAAGACCTTCACCTGGAAATTACCAAGTAATGCGAGTAATAGCGGCACGATCTGTCCCCGGCCATTACGTAAGGTGACAATGGTAATGGGACTTGGTACACTGCAGCTAATTGTAGCCAGAGCGGGAAAAATGCAGCCGAAACTGCCAACAATTAACGCGTAATTGGTATTTTGTCATGGAATTGCTGAAATTGTTTTGTTCTGAAATAATTGGAATTAATTTGCATCTCATTTTGTAGAAATATTTATTAGGGTGTTAAGTTTTTTTTTAATAACTATATTTTAAATTATTCATAATGTTAAATTTTAAATATGTTTGAAATACCACCAGTTTAATATGGTGTTGGTTTTATAACTAAAATATTTTCATGGGAGAGAAAGTATAGTTTTATCTGTGGGTTCGTGAATCCTAATTTACAAGAGTTTTGTGTAGAATATTCATAAGGTAGTTTGATGTTTAAGATAATTATTATTATTTTGCTTGTTTTGATGTTTAAAATAGTTGTATCATACATTTAATCGAAAATTATTAAAAGTATTTTGCCTTTTTCCTCCATGGGTAAAAATCACGTATTAGATGTCCGTATAATATTTGGATAATTAGATGGTATCCATAAAATCATGTAATTATAATTTTGTTTTGGTCATAACGTAGTTATGTTTTGTGGCGTATTGGTAATTTGAAACGGGAATAGTATTCTGTAGAGCTATATTAATAAGGTATTTTGAACTTTGAATAATCTTGATGAAAGATAGAAATTTAAAGAAAATACATAAAATAATAGAACTTAAGCTCATAGCTGATTTCTAGCGTTGAACGTAGTTTGCTCCATAGAGGTATAATTTTTTAAGTTGAGCACTCAATGTTGTTTAAATGGGTTTCATTACTTCACCGAGTGAGTTTTTGAAACTTTACTTCACTCGTGAAGTAAAGAAGTAGTATACATCACGCTTGGGATAGGGAAGTGTAACATAGCGGGTTAGGTAAAATATAGTATTTAATTTGTTGGGATCAGTTGTCTGGAATTGTGAAATAAGCATATAGTAGTTCTGATTGTTTACATTGAAATGTCAACGCAAAGGTAAACATTGTGAATTTTCTCATGCTTCCATGGAGACTAATTTTTACTTTTGGAAAACATCACCTCAAAACCTTGGACAGGGGCGTAACCCGAGATGAACTCAGAGAAGTGAATATTCCTATGACATTCCTAGGTATGTGGAAAATCTTTGTGTTTGGCTGTATCAGTTTAGTATTTTAGCCGTGACAGCTGCTCAGACAGACAGATACCACCTCAATTTCATAATAGCAATATGAATAACAATGGTAAATAACAATGTGGCAATAACAATGGTAAATAACAATATAACCTGTCATGTAGGGTTAAGGATAAACCAGTTCTAAAACCAAAGTTTTTATACACAATGAGAGACAATAGACCAACCAATGGTTATTGTCTGTGATACAATCTTGAACAACAAGATACAACTATTAATTTGAAAACCACGGAACACCTCAAACGTCCACAACGAACCCCTAAAACGAACAATCACAATAATTACAAAACGTGGCACTTGCTCCATTGAGAGAGCGTTTAAGATAAGATCTACAACAGAATGGTTATCATCGCAGGTTCTCAGACATATTGTCAGTTCTGACACTGCATTCATTCATTACCACATCATGGTTTTTACCACTGGCCGACTTCCCATTCATAAACTCCAAGGTGTTATTCCCATCTGCCTATGCTATTGTGCGAAGATCATAAATTACATGGTGTAACTTTATTGTTTCGCGAGTTTTTGTCACTTGATGCTGCTAGGTGATTATGTTTTTTGGAGGAAATACTTGTGAATAGAATACACGGGTAGTTTTTGCTTGTACCGCTTGTATCCACACAATACGTATTTTGGCATATGGGTAGAAAAGTACGTTTTACAACACTTTTCGATATATATAAATTTTATACTGTGAACATTTTTTCAAACGGCACATATTGAATTTTACAATAGCGGTATATTTATCTGGTAGGGGATCGGAATGACTGGTATAAAACGATTGTGGTTATAAAACGTTTGATATAGGCTAATTACAATCTTGTAAATGTTTACAGTTAAGTGTACAGAAGAAATATAGGAAATTGCCTATGAAAGCCATACGAAACATCAGGTATTAACGTTTACTAGAAAGATTATAATCCAGTAGGTACTATACGAGAAAAAGTCAAATTTAACAAATAGTTGAATTTAAAATAGGTAACATTTAAACAATCCAATTACATCAACCATTACCAATTGTCGAAGCCACACGGATGCAGGGTTTTAATAGTAAGCCATGTTTTATTTAGCTCTGAGAATAAATTTGATCCATCGTTATAATACATTTTTGTAACGTATTCATAATCCATTATTTGTAGTTTATATTACTCGGCATTCATGCATTTTATGACTCTGGTATACTGTATATTAAGCATCAAGCTACTATCATAAAAATGGCAAACTATGACATACGGTGTATCTCCAACTGAAACGATTGCCAGTCAATCCACACGCGTCAAAACTAGATCTGAATTAAAAGTTAAATTGCAACAACCCAGCAACAATCAAGTTACTATCATTACTATGACAGACTATTAAAAAAAGTATTGTGTATCTCCAACTGGAACGATTGCCAGTCAATCCACACGCGTCAAAACTAGATCTGTATTAAAAGTTAAATTGCAACAACCCAGCAACAATAACCACTAAAGGATGCGGTAGTCTGCGTTCCCTCTTGCGTCAGTTTGAGTGCCCTCACAACAAGCACGATGATCTATGGTCTTGTCATCCCAAGCACAACACTTGCTCGCTCCACTCCACGTAACAAACGTCCAGACGTGAGCGAATGGCTTGTTGCAACTCTGAACTGGAGCAGGGTTTGGTTACGGAAGCTTGTTAAACTTTGTACCTCAAATTGGTTGTTGACTTCCACTTCGCCGGGGTTAAGGTTCATTTGAGTACGCGATAGTAATGCAGAACCTTGATATGGTAGTAGTTTACGACTTATAAAGGTAGACTTCTTGTCGAGTTTTGTAATAAAATACACTTAGGGGTAAACATCAAGGTTGTCAAACTCCACTTGTTGTTGTTATCAAGGATGACTTACTATTGTGTTACCAGTATTACATTACAAAAGTCTCCAGCTGTATATGAATGAAAGAAGACTTCATGTATACAATGAAGGAGACTGTGTTGTTTTGTAATTTTCTTGGTCAACTTTATCAAAAGTTCAGTGACTCAGTGGTATTTCAAACCATCAAAAAGGTACTGACTTTTGTCAGGATCCGATTACTGGACACATTCTACGACGACTCAGCTACCCAGCTCAACTGGTTGAAAGTAGTTTTGGATAAATATTTAACTAAAAAAATGTTAATCGATAATGCAGTACATTGTATTACCAAACAACTTACTTCAGCAAAAACTGCTAATATTGCCTAATTTTCTTTACATGACTTTTTTGTGATTGTGTTTAGTTTACAAATAAGTCTTTTAGTTTATTGTATATAAAAGTCCCATCTAAAAGTATATTTATGAAAAGTTGAAGCTACCTAATTAACACTCATAGCCAAAATAATATGTAAATTCGTTGATAAAAATAGTACGCATAGCAAACGCAGAAACGTTCTTATTTTCGTATGTAGGAATTGTTTCTCTAAACTGTGCTAAATAGAATAAACAATTTGAAAATAATTTACAGAATTACAAAATCATTAGGAGATATTGCTACAAACTCAGTGTATTGTAATTAGTAGGAAATCATGTTCAATACAAAAAACCCCAATATTATTCCGTAGAAATCATCAAGGTTTTGTTCATGTTATTGAATTAATTAGTGCTGAATAATTGATGGTTTGTTTATAACTTTCTCTTGGCAGCTATGTATTGTGTTGGTAAATGGTAATTATGGTATTCGTCAGACCCTTTAGAGTCTGGTACGTGCCATTAGTTTTATTATAAATGGCCAATCTTTGTAACTAAGAATTTTTAACGTGACATACCTACTTTAAAATTTAAAGTTAGAATTTAAAAATGCAACTCCAGAACTTTGAAAAAACCGAGGTCTTTATTTTGGTGGTAAATTTGTCATTTTAATTAAAATAGTTTGTACAGTCAAAATAAATTTGGAAAGAAGGATGGCTAAAGATATAAGCCACTATAAAACACGCGTTGAAGTATAACATGTACACACCATAAACACGTATTAAAAAAACTGCTATTACTTCTCTTTACAATAAAAACAATTATCTGGGAAGTTAGTGTCTTTGTGGTCCCTGCGAGGACTTTTTACGTTGGTGAAAAATGTGTATAATATGCTTTATCAATTTATCAAATAAGCTCACTTATGAAACTGATTGTTAGGGGAAATAAACATTTAAAACATGTTGACTAGGTAAAGTTTTAATTAGTAAAAACTATGGTGAACTATTTGAGTTTAATACCCAAAAGAAGTTTTTAATTTTTATTTTATCCTAAGCGACATAACGTTATTTATATTTGGTTGTTCTTCGACTTCCATTGAGAGCAGCACAAACATAAATAAATTTGAACCTTCACTATGTAAAAAATAGAAAATCTTTTGTAATTTTCATTTAAGAAAACTTTGACTTGAAACTTTTTTAATGTGGCAAAGCTGGAGGGACACAAAAGTCTATCACTACTTTTAATTAATGGAAAACATAATTAGCACCGTCCAAATTATTTATTTATGTACAATTATTGAGTATTGATAAATTTAATTGGAACAAACGACAATTGTTTCTCGTTACACCTTCTGATGATCACTGAAAAATGTAAACAGCGTTCCATCAAACTAACGTAAAAACGTTACGATATCAAAGCATTTACATATTCACAGCATAGAGAAATTTTAAGTTGAACCTTTTATCAAATTAAATTTGAGCATCATTTTAAAGAGGAGTTTTTAGCTACACGTAAAGTATATCGGTAAAATTGTTCGTAAAAAACCCCGAAGGTTTTGACAATAGTTTAATAAGCTATTGTAATGGAATACAACCCTATATTTTATTTTCCTCAATGACAATAGCACAATGCTGGTGTAAAATTATTTTGATGAACAAAATACACGAAGCAAACATGTAAATTTTACTCATGTAAACATTGAATATATAGAGAACATGCACAGTAACAACACTGACAGATAGTTCCAATTTATTACTATATTTTAAAGGAATACAATTTAGGTAAACCATTTTTATTTTGAGTGTTACTAGACTCTAGTAACAAATGCAAGGAAACTACAGTTTGAAAAATATTTAGGTAAGAAAAATTTTTAGAAGTTAACATAAAATGTATATGTAAATATGAAATATCCAGAAAAAGGATATACATATTTGTTGAAAGATTTAAAGTTTCAATTTATTCTTTAACAATGGTAAATAAAATTACTATAAAAATTAAAATTTAAGAATGTGTAAATACAAATTTTATAAGAAATAATACAATGAAAAATGTTATAACATGTTTAGAAAGTATTTATATAAATTCAGTAAAAAATTGACAATATAGAAAAGTAGAATTAGCAATAATACCAACACATATAAATAGCAAAAAATAATTGAAGTGTGAAATAAAAAATAATAATGAAAGAAAAAGAAATAAGTAACATGAAAACCTAAATAAAACAGAAAAATAGTGCAATAAAAAAATTAATTTTAAAGGTATTCTTAAGTTTAATTAAAAACTTTTACAATAGTGTTCTTTAATTTAAGCACAACAGATGAGTCTCCAAATCACTAAACATCTTAGAATACATTAAACACAAAGCACAACAGTTCAAAACAATGTTTTAAGTGCTACAGATTCGTACCTTCATGTCGTGCGAGATGCGATGTAGATCACTGACTGACGACAGCCGCGTCTCCGACATCTTTATATAACATCCTCCGCTGGACCACAGCTGCGACCTTGTACACCCGCGACACCAGGGCCAGGGGTGATGACCGACGTCCAGTGAAGGGTGAGGAGGGTGACGACTGGGACCCCCTTACTTGGCTGATGTAATGTGTTTTGTACAAGAAAGTCAACAGAGGGAACAAGAACCTAAGTTGGTAATTGTATGAGAAAACTTTTGTGAGTTTGCTGAATTTATTTAGAGTGTGAAATAGTGGATGAAATGTGAGTTTTTTAAGAGGCAACATATAGAAATAAATGTATCATTATTTAAATATAAATACATAAACAAGTGATTGTATACAACATCAGATAATATTAAAATATTATGAAAATATTAAAGTTATGTTAAAATACGAATAATCTGAAAAACTAACAGGGTGGCTGAAAAGTACCTTGCACCCCCCTTAAATTTGGAACCTTTTGAGATATTTGAAATCGGATTGCAGCAACCTTCTTAAGAAATGGGCTAAAATAATTATGGTTAATTTTGAAAATTTTGCCCTCAGGGGTAATGTGGGTTGGGGGGTAGCTAAACATGTTCAAATAGGAAGTATGGTCGATTTTGGTATCATTTTACAGGTCTTGACAGCACTAAACAATTTACATAAAGAAAATAGAAATCGGACAACTAATAACAAAATGGCAGCTAAAATAGTTTTGAGCTACAGTACCCTCCACCTCACTACCCCTAAGAGCAAAATGTCAAAAAATTTCCATCATTATTGTAGCCTTTCATATCGAAACAGGTTGCCACAAACCGATTTCAAATATCTCAAATATCTTAAAAGTTAAGGGGGTGCAAGTTAATTTTCAGCCACCCTCATGGTTATTTGGATTTGAAACGTTTTAGGGCGCCATTTTGTTATTAGTGCTCCGATTTTGGGTTTCTTTATGTCAATTGTTTAGTTTTGTCAAGACCTGTAAAATGATACTAAACTCGACTATACTTGCATTTAAAAATCTTAAGCAACCCCCTAACCCCACTCCCCTAAGAGCAAAATTTTCAAAATCAGCCATCATTATTGTAGCCCCCCATAACTGAGAAGGTTGCCGCAAACCGATTTCAAATATCTCAAATAGTTGAAGAGGGGGTGAAAGTTACTTTTCAGCCACCCTGTATATTATATTATTTTACAAATATATTAATCAGAAACGATATACTGTATAAGTGCTGAAAGCAGTGAATCGTATCTCTAGTTAATCTTATTGATAATAACCCAATCACCGCTTATAAGTGCAACAACACCCAACATATGCTACACTTACATGTAAAACAAATTTGAAACATTTTTAAGTCACAGAGGGACTTTTTCATTTGACCTAAACGAGTGTTTTTCACGCTTAGCATGAAACCTATAATTATTGAGTGCAGATATGTTTGGGTATGGATCATAGTATACTTTCTACTAAACATTAAATTTTCAATTAAAATTCAAGGAAGCTGTTGGGATTCCGTTTAGTCCGCAGGTTTGCTGCTACGGGAATGTTAAATTCTGTTTCACTTTTTCTCACGACTCACGACTGCATGACTCCTCACGGTCAAGGCCGGAGTCTGCAATCGTGACTGTCTTCGTAGAGACAAACTGTGTGACGATCCGCTACTACGCTTATCTCTGTCGAAGTTATTAAACAACTAGCAGTGAAACAAGTATGTTTTATCAATGGTGAAACCCAGCGTTGCCTGGGTCAAAACACTATGCACAGTAACAAAGTAAAGGTTGAATGACAATCTGTTAAATATCTCTACTGGTGGACAAATACTTGAAAACACTACTACTGAAATTTGGAATAAAAAACAACCCTGTAATTGGTATTACAACTGAAATAGTGTGCCATACTTTCTGTTAAACTTTATACCTGATAATTATTAAATTAACAAACAGATAACTCATTCATTATTAGGCCTATGAGCTTCTAACCATTTAGCCGATTAAAACAGGAATGCAACAGTGTATATTTTTTTTACCGAAAAATGAGTGTGTGTAGTTTTGTTACTTTCTACGATCAGCTGTTCATTTAGCCAAGATAAGTTAATTAAAAGCTCCAATATTCAACGAAATTTTCTAGGTCCATTTTGAAAAATCAAAAAGCTCCTGTCATCACTCTTGATTGAAACTTTTCAATCTTTTCAAACTCTTTAAATTTTTATCAGGCGAGCAATAACTACAACACACCTCTTAGCAAACCCAGGTCATGTCCGTTTCAAAAATGACAAAGGTCCTAGTACACAAATTGCCCAGTGTAATATGGTCCAAAACCTGTCTCCGAGGCAAAACGAATCCAATGCAATGCCCATTTACCTTATCAAGATTATGTTTGTTTATATCAGTTATCAGGTATATATAACTACTAATTTACTATAAATTTGTTGAGTTTGTTGACTGAAGGAACAGCTGTTAAATTACAATCAACATTTAAACCGTTGTAAAATAATTAGTCAGCATAACTTCATCCTTGAAAATGGACTCAAATAAATTAAACGTGAGGGAAGTGAGGCCCTAAGGGTAATCACCTTTTTAATTACCATTCGCAGGTGCATTAGATCATAAGCTTTAAAACAATCGGCTGAGTAGGACGGCTGGAAAAGGGACGTTAAAGGGAAAACTATTGTCGTTAGGTGTATATATTGAGAACTCATGTTTTGTTGTAGTTTTTATTAAGAATATTATGGAATCTTTTAAACTGGCGTTTGTTCATTCATGTGCCCAAAAGACTTTTGAGTGGAACTCCATTAACAAAGCAAGGTGTGAGTCACTACACCACAAGAATGAATTTTATTGCAACCAAGAAATCGCTCTCTTAGTTACATACTCTATCAATTTATAGACCAAGCCACTCCATCAGATATAAAATATTTGTTCTAATCACCTAATTCACAATTCAAATACTAATAAACAAACAAAAATAACAAATAAAACCAAACTAAACTAAGTTACAACGAAGTAGCTTGTAGAATCGTGCTGGCCTATATAGCAAACATTATCGTTGGAGGACAAAATATTAGTATAAACTAGTCGCTATCCGCAGCTATGTGGACCATCTTCAGAGCGGTTATCTTTCAAGGTCACCGAGCAGTGAGGGCAAGGTCACGCTGATTACTACTATCAGCTGTGAACGTACTCAGTATCCTTGGTCCTGAACTGGATCCTGCATCTGGTCATCCTGTCAAGTTCACAGGAACAAGGTGATTAGCCAGATGATACATCTCATCAATGGATTGTGAGGGTTCAAGACTATAGAAGATGTCCCTATCACATACTCGTTATAATATTCTATGCCAATGTCATTATACTCATTTATGTTTCATGGCCGAAATGAAATGAAATCGGAATGAGACTTAGATGGATTAACAAGGACATTTAAAATAAACATAAAACTGAAGCCAACTTATTGATAAGCATAATACGGATTAATGTTGATATATGAATACATACCAAACCGTCTCTCAAATCTAAATTTTTACAAGAAGATAAACAAAAATGTCAGGATTCGCACAGTTTTATTTTATCATGTCGCAGCTGAGGCAAAGTCATAGACTTTAAAATAGTCTTTAATTAGTTCCATAGTCACTTGCCTTTACATATTTACACTTACCAATAAGTAAAAATAGGCATAGAAATTTCATTGATTTTAGAAACAAAAGAACACTGTACAACTTAGTTTTATGATATTTTTCTTGGTTTAAATTAATCAGTGGTGTAGCAAAATACAAATAATAAATGTGTCAAATGCAATAAAGTAAATGTGAACTGCAAGCTATGTTAAGATAAAACAGGACTATTTTGTATTACCATTTAAATATACTTACACTTATACCACTGATTTTACATCACAAAATTAAACGGCCAACATTTGAGCTATTTATGATATTCTTTAGTTTAATTTAAGCATAGGTGTAGCAAAACACAATCACTAAATTTACCCAGATGTAAAAAAAGGTCAATGTGAAGTGAAAGTTATGTTAAGTTAATCCAAAACATGTTAAGCAGTTAGAATTACAAAAAAACCCCAAATGCATACAAAACATTTATAAATTGTAATTTTCATACTGTTCCCATGAAAATATATCAATGGCATTATTTCCATAGCTTGGACACTTTAAACAAATCTATAGCAGGGCCTGAGTTAATACAGCAATGGTTATAGAATCTTTTTTTATTTCTATAATCAATGACATGGTTTTAGAATAAATAATCTATGATAAATTTTTAGATTAAATAAACCATATAGTTGTGGAAAATATTATATTTAACTTATTTGGATCAGCTGTCTGAAATTGTGAAATATGCTATTTGGTAGTTCTTCTTGTTTACATTGAAATTTCAAAGCAAATGTAAACATTGTGAGTGTTCTCATTGCAGCCATGGAGACCAATAAATATTACTTTTTAAATCCCCACCTCAGAACTTTTAAGCCAAGGGGCAAAGCCCACGGTCAGCATCGAAGTGTGAGTAGTTCTATTACCATTTTTGGTACTGTATTTATATTTTAAAATACCATTAGATTTTTATATCATAATATATATTTCCAATAGAATTGCCAATTTCAACGTTAATAAACAACAAAGTATAGATATAAAAGTTAATATACGTGGGAAAAAATATAAATATATGATAATAATATAATACAGTAACGGCGCAGAAGACGATTCCACAACCATCGTATTTTTACATAGAACAAATCCATGCAATTACTTTATAAATTGGAATTTGTACATATAAATTGATTCTTTTATCCATAGAAAATGTTTTACAAACATGTGATATTATTTGGTCGGACCTCACATACTGACTGATCACAGAAGTTAATTATTGTAACTTTGTTCCATTGGGAAAAATCTCTACATAACTCTTTACGCTGACTTTTACGAGGGAATCTTTTTCTTTGTGGATGCAGTGTTGCAGTGTTCAGCAAAACTCAGCATCGCTGACCGGGTGCAGTAAATAATTGTAACTTAGTTGCGTAAAAAACACC